ATTCTCCACAATGCTTTCCCTTTCACTCCCTGCATTGTGCCTACATATGCAAATTAACCACCATCTTGTTGTCAATCTTAGTTGGCAGTTAACTGCCAATCTTAGTTGGCAGTTAATTTGCATATAGCCCTGATTAGCCAATGAAAAGGGTATTGGTCGTACGCCAATTACCATTTTTGTCTTTTATTAGATAGGATACTAGAAGCCCGATGCACAAAATTCATGCAAGGGTAGGCCCTCACAGCCCCAGCTGCCTCGGCCCTTGCAGCCCTGGCTTTGTCTGGAAGGTCAACTGAAAGGTCATCCAGACGGTCTTTCTGCTGTTCAGCTGCCCAGTCTAATTAGCATGTTATGCTTTTATTATTATAGATAATTTAGATTTTAAAAAAGAATATTTTGCTTTAAAAATTTTCGTGAGGTCTTTCTTAAGATTCCTTCTTTCATCTCTAAAATCAGCAATTAAAATCAGTTTCAACTATTTGGCAAGTGGACCACATCTTTTGTTTTTCTCTCCTTGAATTGTGTTTACATTAGCTTTAAACACTTGCCTTGCAGAGAAAATAAACTTCTACATTCTTAGGGAAAACTGTTAAACTAAAAGACCTGACAAAGTAATTCTCAAATGTGTTTAAAGAACTTATGGCTTACATGAATGTGAATTCTAATTTACTGACTTTGAGCTTGGCTGCTGTTTTTGATTAATTTGCATTTTGTACATTAATTGCTTCCCTCAATCACCTGTCAGATTTATAGTAGGGAAGTTATACTCTCTTAAACCCCACTCTATTATTCATTTAAAGGGAGATAAAAGATCAATATAGAAAGTTAAGAAGTACACTGCGGTTGGCAAAAGATAATAAATAGAATAAGCACATACACTTATATTATTTGTGTGTATATCTCTGTGTGTGTGTGTATGTCCAATATACACATAGCTGAGGATATAGAACCATTGCAACTCAATAATAAAAAGTCAGACAACTGGAGTGAAAAATGGGCAAAATATTTGAAAAGATATTTCACTGGGGAAGACATGTGCATGGTCAAAACACGCATGAAAAGATACTTAAAATCGTTAGCAGGGCATTGGAAATTAAAACCATTATAAAATATAACTAGATACCTAGTAGAGTGGCTAAAATTTTAAAATACAGTACTAAATGTTGGTGAGGAGGTAAAGCAACTTCACCTTTCATGCATTGCTGGTTGGAATGTAAAATGGTACCACCACTTTGAAAAAAACAATTTGGCAAATATTTGAAAAGCTAAATATATACTTACTTAACACATGACATCAATCATTTGTCTTAAGGAAAATGAAAATTAATGTCTAAAACTTGCACTCAAATGTTTATAGTAATTTTGCTCATAACATCCAAATCCAACCCAAATACCTATCAATAGATGAATAGATACACTAAATATAGTACATCTGGAACAATGAAATACTATTCAGTTACAAAAAGGAACAGATTGCTGATACTTGCAATAACATGGGTGAATGTCCAAAACATTATAGTGAGCCAAAGAAGCCAGACACTCTATGATTCCATTTATATGAAACTTTAGAATAAAGATAAATCTAATATGGCCTTAGGGTGAAGTGATTTACTAGAAAGGAAATGGTATATTTCAGTTTGACGGAAATATTCTATATCTTTATTAATGTGGTGTTTATAGGTTTATTCATTTGTCAAGCTTATTGACCTTTACATTTAAAATAGATATATTTGTGTGAATTATACCTGAATAAAGATGAAAATTTTAGTTTTTACAAATTTTATTTATAGTTGATTCTTAAAGGAAAATAGCTCAATTGATTAAATGAACATGTAAACATAATATCAAAATTAAGTCCTGTTTAAAACTTCAAAATTTCTCCAAAGTAAATGAACTAATTCACCAACTCTCCTTATTTTAGTTTTTCTTTTTGAATCTAAAACTAACAAAACTACATTTCCCCCCCTTTTCTTATCTCTAAAGTTTAGTAACTTACCAAAAAGTTAGTGGCTCTACTCTACATATATTTACCCACCTAAGGTATGCTATATCTCAAAAGTTTTCATGCAGTTTTTGTGTTATAAAGAGGTCATTACTATGGAAATCTTAAGTTCAATGGTACAGGAAATTAGGAGTTTGCTGCCATATGTAGAGCATCAAAAGTGTGTATAGTATTGTAATACATCTGTTTTGTTTTTTCCCAAGGTAATAATTTTTTTTATGATCTTTTATTTTTTTTTTCCTTTCTGTTCCTTTGGACTGCAGCAAAAATAACTTTGATTGCTCAGCTAACCTCTCCTGCCACCCGCCTGCCATTTTAAGTACAGTGGAGCCATGACTTACGAGTGTCCCGACTAACGAGCTTTTTGAGATACCAGCCGTCTCTCGGCTTTTTTTTTTTGCTTTGAGTTGCGAGCTAAAATTCGGGTTACAAGCCAGCTTCAGATTCCCCTCCGCTAGCTGGCGCATCGAACGTCACAGTGAACGCCACAACATCAGCCCAGCATCACATGTCTCACTCGTTCACTTTTTGATTTGACATATGAGTAATTTGAGTTACGAGCTCCGTCACGGAATGAATTAAACTCGAAAGTCAAGGCCCCACTGTATAGAGGTGATTTTTTTTTTTTTTGAGGCTTCATGGATCCTGATGAAATATCAATCTTGGTTACTTTGTTTCATGGATCCTGAAATATCAATCTTGGTCACTTAGCACTTTTTTTTTTACTGAACAGTCTAATTATATTAGTCTTCTTTAACCTTCCTACAGGTTTGTCATTGGGCGAGAAAAACCAGGACAAGTGAGTGAGGTTGCGCAGTTGATAAGCCAGACACTGGAACAAGAAAGGCGCCAGAGAGAGATGCTTGAGCAGCATTACGCCCAGTATGATGCTGACGACGACGAGGTAGGCAAGCTGAGCAGACATTCTTTTCCTGCACTTCTTCTCCCGAGGTTCCTACTGTATAAAACTCTCTTTACTTTAAAGCAGGATGGCAGGTTCTTCGCAGTTTCCCAAGGAGCGTGTATGTATGTTCAATCTCACGGAAAAGAAATATTACTTGCTTTTATTATTCACTTATGAATCAAATATTGGTATTTCTTTGACAGTGTGAAGACTTTGGAATCAAATAAGTTATATTTTATCACAGTATTTAAAGAAATTCACTGAAACAAAACAAAAAAGGGTAAAAACACCAAAACGCGAATGCTTGCTGTCTTTATGGTTTGAATTAGGTGTTTTTTCCCCCTCTGCTTTATTTTTTTTGCAATTTTTATCAAATTTTCAGCCAGTATATAATGCTTTTTCAGAAAAAAATCAGTAAACATTTACATGAAAAAGCACACACATACAAACGCAGAAAAGCATTAAAAACCACTGAGGTTTTCAGGGTTTTCTTTTTGTCCAGGAAGAGAAAGTTCCTTGGATCTGCTCGCTATGATTTGTGCTAACACAATGCAGAACAAAGCTTTCCCACCAGCACATATTCCTGAGAGTAGATACGTATTGGAATAATTTTGCATCCTGTTCTCTGTAGAAGATCAAGTAAATGAATAGAAGCTAACCCCCAAGTGAAAACGGCTGTCGGGAACCCTTGTGTGTTGTAATATAATACAGATGCTGGTCTATTTCTAATGTAAATGCCAAGCGTACATTGATATAATGGGACAACACGCTTTATTTTAAATGTGCATGTGTTTCATATGGGCATATCAAAAAATCCATCCGCAATTTAGTTGTAGTATTTCATACTTCATAAACATAGTAAATATTCAGGTAAAATAAATATTCTTTATCCCAGCTGATACAAGGACAGTGCAACTTCATATGTTCAGCCTCTATTCATCTGAATTTATTCGATGTTCAGAACTTTTTACATTCCTGGCCAAAATGTAGTGAAGATTAATAAACATACATTCAAATATTTTAATGTATTTTTAATCTGGATGTTTTAACCCAAATGTATATTGATTTTTCATGTGCTTGTAGTATAATGAGGATGTACTCTCCATTTCTTAGAGTAGAAAATTTAAAATGGTGCATTAGTTAACTTTTGATCAAAGAGTACATGCTAGAAAGTCTTCATGTAAAAGTCTCTCATAATCCTATTTTGTTGATTTTATTTATTCACTTGCAGAATTCATTGGAAATGGCGAGTATTTTTTATTATATTGAGATATTATATATGAAAATGTTATCTTGGATTTAGAAACTAAAAAAGTGTTTTCCTCAGATACTTGAACGTTCATCTTACCTAGTCTTCCATTCTCTGTGCTAGTGTTTTATGTTTTAGCAGACATACTAATGTGCTTTAGCTACAAGTCTATTTTAGGATGGGAGAATCGTCTCTGCAGGTCTGGTTTTTACCTGCTCACTCTGCTAGAAGAATTTGGAGCTGAGTTGCAGGGAGTAGGGGTGACATCAGTGGTGGACTGAGGAGACCAAGCTTTCTGGTCTCTGTGGGCCTCCGTGTCTCTGGCTGTAGAGCATAGGGAATTGGATAAATCTCTGAATTTTTTCCAGCTTCTAATATTCCATGAGCCTATGAAATAAAGCATCTGGTGAAACAAGGAAAGAG